GCTTTGCTGCAGGAGGGACTGGTGCACTTCACACAATAGATGGCATCATGAGGTAGGAAAATTATGTGGATATATTGAAGCAACATCTCAAGACATCAGTCAGGAAGTTAAAGCTTGGTCGCAAATGGGTCTTCCAAATGGACAATGACCCCAAGCATACTTCCAAAGTTGTGGCAAAATGGCTTAAGGACAACAAAGTCAAGGTGTTGGAGTGGCCATCACAAAGCCCTAACCTCAATCCTATAGAAAATGTGTGGGCAGAACTGAAAAGCGTGTGCAAGCAAGGAGGCCTACAAACCTGACTCAGTTACACCAGCTCTGTCAGGAGGAATGGGCCAAAATTCACCCCACTTATTGTGGGAAGCTTGTGGAAGGCTGCCCGAAACATTTGACCCAAGTTAAACAATTTAAAGGCAACGCTACCAAATACTAATTGAGTGTATGTAAACTTCTGACCCACTGGGAATGTGTTGAAAGAAATAAAAGCTGAACTAAATCATTCTCTCTACTATTATTCTGACATTTCACATTCTTAAAATAAAGTGGTGATCCTACCTGACCTAAGACAGGGAATTTTTACTAGGATTAAATGTCAGGAGTTGTGTAAAACTGAGTTTAAATGTATTTGGCTAAGGTGTATGTAAACATCCGACTTCAACTGTACATATAAAGTGGGTAAAACAGTATGTAAAAATTATTAAAGTGACCAGTGTTCAATGACTAGAATACAGTATATACAGTGCATTCAGAAAGTATTCAGACCCCTTGACTTTTTCCACATTTTGTTGCGTTACATCCCTATTCTAAAACAGATGAATGTTTTTCCTCATCAATCTACACACAATACCCCATAATGACAAAGCAGAAACAGGTTATTAGAAATGTTTCGAAAAACAGAAATACCTTATTTACATAATTATTCAGACCCTTTGCTATGAGACTCGAAATTGATCTCAGGTGCATCCTGTTTCCATTGATCATCCTTGAGATGTTTCTACAACTTGATTGGAGTCCGCCTGTGGTAAATTCAATTGATTGAACATGATTCGGAAAGACACACACCTGTCTCTATAAGGTCCCACAGTTGACAGTGCATGTCAGAGCAAAAACCAAGCCATGAGGTAGAAGGAATTGTCCGTAGAGCTCTGAGACAGGATTGTGTCGAGGCACAGATCTGGGGAAGGGTACCAAAAAATGTCTACGGCATTGAAGGTCCCCAAGAACACAGTGGCCTCCATCATTCTTAAATAGAAGAAGTTTGGAACCACCAAGACTCTTCCTAGAGCTGGCCGCCCGGCCAAACTGAGCAATCGGGGGAGAAGGGCATTGGTCAGGGAGGTGACCAAGAACCCGATGGTCACTCTGACAGAGCTCCAGAGTACCTCTGTGGAGATGGGAGAACCTTCCAGAAGGATATCCATCTCTGCAGCACTCCACCAATCAGGCCTATATGGTAGAGTGGCCAGACAGAAGCCACTCCTCAGTAAAAGGCACATGACAACCCGCTTGGAGTTTGCCAAAAGGCACCTAAAGGACTCTGACAATGAGAAATAAGATTTTCTGGTCTGATGAAAACAAGATTGAACTCTTTGGCCTGAATGCCAAGCATCACGTCTGGAGGAAACCTGGCACCATCCCTACGGTGAAGCATGGTGGTGGCAGCATCATGCTGTGGGGGTGTTTTTCAGCGGCAGGGACTGGGAGACTAGTCAGGATCGAGGGAAAGATGAACGGAGCAAAGTACAGAGAGATCCTTGATGAAAAGCTGCTCCAGAGCGCTCAGGACCTCAGACTGGGGCAAAGGTTCACCTACCAGCAGGACAACGACCCTAAGCACTCAGCCAAGACAACGCAGGAGTGGTTTCGGGACAAGTCTCTGAATGTCCTTGAGTGGCCCAGCCAGCGCCTGAACTTGAACCCGATCGAACATCTCTGGAAAGACCTGAAAATAGCTGTGCAGCGACGCTCCCCAACCAACTTGATAGAGCTTGAGAGGATCTGCAGAGAAGAATGGGAGAAACTCTCCAAATACAGGTGTGCCAAGCTTGTAGCATCATACCCAAGAAGACTCTAGGCTGTAATCGCTGCCAAAGGTGCTTCAACAAAGTACTGAGTAAAGGGTCTGAATACTTATGTAAATGTGATATTTCAGTAAAAAATATATATATACATTTGTAAATTTCTAAAAACCTGTTTTTGCTTTGTGATTATGGGGTATTGTGTGTCGATTGATAAGGGAAAAAAACGATTTAATCAATTTTAGAATAAGGCTGTAATGTAAAAAGTTAAGGGGTCTGCATACTTTCCGAATGCACTGTACTTAAATGTGGGTAAAACAGTATGTAAACATTATTAAAGTGACCAGTGTTCAATGACTAGAATACAGTATACACATATAAAGTGGGTAAAACAGTATGTCAACATTGTTAAAGTGACCAATTTTCAGTGACTATGTACATAGGACAGCAGTCTCTAGGGTTCAGGGTAGAGTACCGGGTGGTAGCCGGCTAGAACAGTGACTAAGACTCAAATGTTTGTGAAGGTCTTAGGGGCCAAGCCAAATTTCCTCAGCCTCCTGAGTTTGAAGAGCCGCTGTTGCGCCTTCTGTGTGAAGGGACCATTTCAGGTTGTCAGTGATGTGCACGCCGAGGAACTTGAGCCTTTCTACTTCGGCCCTGTCGATGAGGATGGGATCGCGCTCTCTCTGCTGTCTCCTTTAGTCTACAATCAGCACCTTTGTTTTGTTGACGTTGAGAGAGGTTTCCTGGCACCACTCCGCCAGGGCTCTCACCTCCTCCCTGTAGGCTGTCTCGTCGTTGTTGGTAATCAAGCCTACTACTGTTGTCGTCAGCAAACTTGATGATTGAGTTGGAGGCATGCGTGGCCACGCAGTCATGGGTGAACAGGGAGTACAGGAGGGGGCTGAGGACACACCCCTGTGGGGCCCCGTGTTGAGGATCACTATTGCGGAGGTATTGTGGCCTACCTTCACCACTTGGGGTCGGCCCTTCAGGAAGTCCAGGACCCAGTTGCACAGGTTGGGGTTCAGACCCAGGGCCCTGAGCTTAGTGATGAGCTTGGAGGGCACTATGGTGTTGAAGGCTGAGCTGTAGTCGATGAACTACTATGTATTCTTACATAGGTATTTCTCTTGTCCAGGTGCGATAGGGCAGTGTGCAGTGCAATGGTGATTGCGTCGTTTCAGTCATGTAAAGGTAGAAGGGGAAAAAAAGTGATTAACCCTGTATACCCCAGGGAGCTCCAGCCAGACTGATTTTAGCATGATGATGGACTCCACGTATCTCCCAGTGGAGGAGCAGGGGGATCACTCCTGCCCCACACGTTATAATATCATGCAAAGAAAAATGGTCCCTCATCATCACTAAACGGCAGTATCAAAACCTTCAGAAGACCGACAGTACAGGGAAGTACCTGGACATTAAAAAAACAATAATGTACTGTATCTGTCCCACTGGTATTGTAGAGCTAGAGATCTTGTTTTCACCTCAGTTGTTTAAACCACTTCATTCAACTCATTACTGACTCACAGACAGGACTACTGAGGCCCTACTTTGAGGTTCCCTTGAGGGTGGTTTGTACATAGATGGCTCATGGCTCATACAGACATAAACCGACAGACAGACAGACAGATCTTGTACCATGCTGCAACCGTACAGCTTTAGAGGGCAGAATTATCTGCATGACCCCATCAACGAGATGACGTATGAGATGTTATGCGATTGTACAGTACTGCGTTGATATGTAACAGGTTCTAGGCGTATGCACTTAAACACCTCTGATCTTTTCTCTGTCCTCTCATTGCAGATTGGATCTCTCCACCATGGTATAGGATGTGTAAGTACATGTTCACACTTTGGCATGTAATCACCATATCATTGTTATGCGTCGTTTTACTCCCCCGCAATCTCTATGTAACGCAAGGGCCATTTATATGTGTTTAGTGCTCGGCCTACATTAACATCACCCAGTTTTACTGTATCAGAATGGCTCAAATAATCCCCGTCCTGTAGATACTTGTTGTTTCAGATGGCTTTAGTTGGATTAAGGGTCTTCTTGCCCCTAAAAGTCCACACCTATTACTGAGATGAGCAGAATCTCCTGTGATGCACCTGTAAACAGAGTCAACACATATAGATTCCTAGGTGCCAGTGAGCTGGACTGTTTACTGACTGTGTGCTGAGCCGAGCATGTATCACTGCCAAGGACCAGACCACACAGACGCCTCACATACACACATACTCACACACGCGCACATACACACACACTCCTACCCACACAGAAGCCTCCCACAGACAGAGAGCATTTGTTCGAGTGGGTATTATTAGTCATGAATGTTTTAGGGGTGAGACATGTGCTGAAAGATTGTTCTGAATATATTTGAGAGAATAATGAAGTGTAACCTTCTGTAACCTACATGCTCACAGGCTTCTGTTCTACTGCCATTACACTGTTTACCTAATAATAGACTAGAGGAAAAACATCTAGATATCAGCTGGCTCCTGCTTTTCATTGGATGAATAAGACAGTTTTATACCGTCTTAATTGCCTGGTATTAAAGTTTTATGGGCACATTCTTTGTGGGAGTAAGTGACAGACGTGTCTTGATCCAAGGTAACCTAGTCTAATTACTCTGTGTCCCCCTGACTTCCAAACAAAGTACACCACCTCTCCTAACGACAATTAATACATTAAGATGAATAATGTAACAAGGAGAAACAGTCTCACATGGGGGTTTATAGGACACTATTCAGACATCATTAAAAGCCATTTCCCCATGCACTCCTCACACTAAATCATCCTAAAATGGAGGCTCACTGTGTGTTTTCATTTCTCTGTTGGCATAGCTGAGGGGTGTGTGTGTGCGTGCATGTGCCCTTAACAACAGTTATACTTCAATTTGGGGTCATATTACTCTTTGACCTGAGCCCAGGGCCTGACCTCTGAGTGTTAGTGAGTAATGTTGTTGTGTTGGTTTCTAGGTGCTGTCCCTGCCCCATCGCAGGCTAGTGTGCTACTGTCGGCTGTTTGAAGTGCCAGACCCCAACAAGCTCCAGAAGCTAGGCCTGCACCAGCGGGAGATTTTCCTGTTTAATGACCTTCTGGTGGTAGGTGTCCCCTCCTGCCTTTCTCCTGTCCTGTCCTGTCCTGTCCTGTCCTGTCCTGTCCTGTCCTGTCCTGTCCTGTCCTGTCCTGTCCTGTCCTGTGTTAAATATGGTCATTCAAATATGGTCATTCTACAGTAGCCTCACAGCAACAACAATGGGCAAAGAAATACAGTCTATGAGCTTTCAGTTCAAACCTTTCTTTTGTTTCTCCAATCTCTTTCTTCCCTCACAGTATAACTCATGTCTGTGTGCTTGTTTGGGTGTTTATTTGGTTGCAGGTGACAAAGATTTTCCAGAAGAAGAAGAACTCTGTGACATACAGCTTCCGGCAGTCTTTCTCTCTGTATGGGATGCAGGTTCTGATGTTTGAGAACCAGTGTAAGTAGAACAGACCTCTCCCTGTCCATTCAAATCAAATCAAATCCAATTTTATTTGCACATGCGCCGAATACAACAGGTGTAGGTATACCTTACAGTGAAATGCTTACTTACAAGCCCTTAACCAACAATGCAGTTTTAAGGAAGAATACCCCCAAAAAATCATAAAAAATACATTATAAAATAATATGAAATAAAGTAACAAATAATTAAAGAGCAGCAGTAAAAATAACAATAGCAAGGCTATATACAGGGGGTACCGGTACCGAGACAATGTGCACCGGTTAGTTGGGGTAATATGTACATGTATGTAGAGTTATTAAAGTGACTATGCATAGATAATAAACAGAGAGTAGCAGCAGTGTAAAAGAGGGGTGGGCAATGCAAATAGTCTGGGTAGCCATTTGATTAGATGTTCAGGAATCTTATGGCTTGGGGGTAGAAGCTGTTTAGAAGTCTCTTGGACCTTGACTTGGCGCTCTGGTACCGCTTGCCGTGCGGTAGCAGAGAGAACAGTCTTATTTATTATTATTATTACTTTTTTTTGTCATTTAGCAGACGCTCTTATCCAGAGCGACTTACAGGAGCAATTAGGGTTAAGTGTCTTGCTCAAGGGCACATCGACAGATTTTTCACCTAGTCGGCTCGGGGATTAGAACCAGCGACCTTTCGGTTACTGGCACAACGCTCTTAACAACTAAGCTACCTAAGCTACCTGCCGCCCCAGCCCTAGTCTATGACTAGGGTGGCTGGAGTCTTTGACAATTTTTAGGGCCTTCCTCTGACACCACCTGGTATAGAGGTCCTGGATGGCAGGAAGCTTGGCCCCAGTGATGTACTGGGCCGTACAGACTACCCTCTGTAGTGCCTTGCGGTCGGAGGCCGAGCAGTTGCCATACCAGGCGGGGATGCAACCAGTCACGATGCTCTTGATGGTGCAGCTGTAGAACATTTTCAGGATCTGAGGACCCATGCCAAATCTTTTCAGTCTCCATAGGTTTTGTCGTGCCCTCTTCACGACTGTCTTGGTGTGCTTAGACTATGTTAGTTTGTTGGTGATGTGGACACCAAGGAACTTGAAGCTCTCAACCTGCTCCACTACAGCCCTGTGGATGAGAATGGGGGCATTCACCATCTCCGCAATGTGTTGTTAGCCCAGCATGCTTATATAGTACATCCCACTGGGTTCAATTTGGCACATCTATATACATCTAACCATCCTGTGATGATGGAACGAGACACTGTTTATACTTTCAAAACAGACAGATTTTCAGAACGCGCTTTTAAACTTCCTTTGTGGTCGATGCCCCGAGTTTTAAAGGTCTCTCTCTCTCTCTCTCTCTCTCTCTCTCTCTCTCTCTGTGTTTGGACCAGATTACGGGAATGGAATCAGGCTTACATCAGCCATACCAGGTGCCGACATCAAAGTCCTCATCAACTTTAACGCGCCCAACCCCCAGGACCGCAAGAAGTTCACTGACGACCTGCGAGAGTCTATCGCCGAGGTCCAGGAAATGGAGAAATACAGGATAGAGTGTGAGCAGACATTTTAGCTCTCTATCCCCCGCCCTCATTCCCTCTCTCCCTCTCTCCATCCACCCCTCCCTCCCTGGCCGCTGCGGGCCATGTAAACTCAGTCAAGTAGAGGCAGAGAGGGCATGGTCCTCATCACTCACTCTGTTTATGAGGAGGAATGTTTATAGAGTTCACAGGGTGACTACCACGAGGAGGACTGTGTTTGCGGAAGGTGATTTATCAAAGAGAAACACACCGAAGACTGTTTTTAAGAATGAGTCAAATGTACGAAAGGATTTAGGTGCACTTTTACAATGTTACATTTGATTATTATGTAAATGCAATAGTTACCGAATGTATAGTAATAATCTATATGAAAGTAAGACAAGTGCCAGTGATGAAATGATATGAGGAAATGTAGAGGTATTGTATGTTTGAAGATGAACACTGAAACATACACACACACACACACACACACACACACACACACACACAGTATCTTTACCTTACTCTCTCCCCATATGTATGTTCATATAAAGCTGAGCTGGAGAAGCAGAAAGGGGTGGTGAGGCCCAGTATGTCCCAGAGCTCTGGGCTGAAGAAGGAGGCTGGCAACGGCAACATGAACCGTGCCAGTCTGGACGACACCTACACCATGGGCGAGGGCCTGAAGAGGAGCGCCCTCAGCAGCTCCCTCCGCGACCTCTCCGAAGCAGGTGAGGTCAAAGGTCATCATTGTGTTCACAAGAGGGTCCTTTCCTGCGAGAGACCCTCTGTTGTTTTTACCACCTCACTCGTCCTATAGTAATATAACACGGAGCATCCAACATTGTTTTATAGCACCTTGAATTGATGTCAGACATCTCTAAGCTGTATTGATGATCAAGTAAAATGTAATTCCAGTGAGATGTTCCTATTAAATAACTTAAATGCATTCTGTATCTGGGCAGTGTGAGACTTGACAGGATAATTGCGCTTAAGTCCTGTAAGTTTAGTCCTAAAATTATTTTCTGGTACTGGTGCCCTACCCCAATGTGAAATAGTTTTATCGTAACCTGGGATTTGAAACAACAGAAGTAGGTTTGTGCCATTTGAAAAATATAAGTTTCTAAATTAATAAGCTATTTGGTATGATGTTATCCATAGGCCTACTTTAGAGGGTTTGCCTTTCCACTGAAAAGTGATATTGAAGGAAGGATGACTCTCGCCCCTGTATCTAAATCAAAATATACTTTATATCTCAATGAACACCTTTGATTTTTGCACTTTTACGTGTCACATTCTCATGCTTAAATCCCTCTTTTCTTGTCACAACATTTCATGATAAGGCTTGCTTGTTATATGTTGAATTAATCCACCTTTATTCATTACCAGTCATTCTCTCATGTATTGCTGTGATCCAAGCCCACTGAATTCAATGGGGATCTGTTCTCATACAATAAGTGACGCAAGATGAGATCTGGTTCCAAAATTACAACAAACATCTCATTGTCATGAATATCGAGAATGTTTCACATAGCATTTCGGACTCTAAAGCGAATCACCTTGAGAACGTGTCATTCATTCTGGATCGCAGTTATGTTAAGACATCATGATAACGTAATGAAATCCATATAGAAGTTCTACAGTATCTCACATTAGGATGTATGTGCTCTGTTTCTAATGTCATGTTGGGTACTGTACTGAAATACTGATACGATAAGGCTAGTCAGTGCTGAAGTTAATAGATCGACATACTAGTGTTTCCGCCCTCCTGTCTTAGCTAGGTTTTTGCGTATGTTTAAGCTCTAACTTTCTCAACGCAGGACGTGGCATGATAGTGTGGTCATTTCCTGTTTTTATTTTCTCGCCATTCTCCATCTCATTATGTACTTCCTGATATATCCATTCCCATTGGGTTTCTCCATATGTGAAGACTGGTCATGTATCCATTGGCTGAGCCTCTAACAGTGGCAAACCGTTCTATTTGCTCTTGGTCCTTTTCTGTATTTGCTCGTACACCTCATGTGCAACAGCCATTGTATTGCTTTTGATGTTTCTTCTCCTTCGTGACTGTCACTGCCATTGGCTCTCTACAAAGCCACCCGTTACCCTTCCTTATGACAATCTACATCTTGTGACAACATTAAATCCATGTTGTCACATTCTATCAGGGAAAAAATATATGAATTATCTTAACTAGTTGTAGTTTAGAGATACTAACATTGCTTAGCTCTTTGTAGTTATGCTGATGTCCTCAGCTGAATGTTGCAAAAATGATTTAAGGTTGAGCAATGCAGTAAATTCAAACTTTAGAATTGTGTTTTATTTTCATTATAACATCTAAGCTTATGACCAGAAAGATAGGATATATAATATGAATAGTGTAAAAGTACACAGACCAAATATCTCTCTTTATCTCCTAAGTAAATATCAACAAAGCTGCTAAAATAATGGACGTGACTTTGCGACAGTAATACCTACCTATCTATCAACCGGTCCCCCACACGCTCCCTGCCCCTTTTATCTCAGTTTCCAGTGTACTACTCACAACCCCCTGCACTGCCCCCTAGGGGAGAGGAGGGCTGCCTAAACCTCTGTAGTTGATCCAGGAGTGCTGTCCTATCCATCTCTAATCTGTGGTATTGCATGTCTCGGGCAGGCAAGCGTGGGCGCCGCAGCAGTGCAGGATCACTAGACAGCAATATGGAAGTAAGTTTGAAGCAGCTGGTGTCCAAGCTACTCTGTGATGATGTGCACTGTAAAAACATAGTTTATTTTTGTTGTTCTTGCACCCCTCTCTGCTTCATAGACTCTCAGTTTATTTTGTTTTATGACCTTTTTTTATTATAATTTTTTTATCTCGGATGCCTTTTAACAACCTGCCTGTCTCGGTTAGTGTGCATGCATGGGCTGCCTGCCTCTGACGCTGGCTAGATGGGAGACATGTCTTGTTTTGGTCATGTGACCAGTTTGCCTTTTTTCTTGAAACAAGCATGACTCTACTAGTAATCCCCCCTTCCTCCCTCTAATCCCCCCAGCTGTTTGTTTTGATCACCGTCTAATGTCTTCCATTCAGCCATGTCCCGACCCGCAGTTTGACTTTCCTTTAGGATTCTCTTACCTTAGGCAGGGGTGCCAGTGAATACCTGTTGTAGCACCTACTCTCCCCCTAGTGTGCAAACCTAAAGCCCCCCTCTCCTGTCCCCTGTCTGTCCTATTGAAAGAAAGCCCACGGAGGTTTGAGGCTCAGGGAGGAAGGTTATCTTACTGCAGCTCACGGTCACATCAATATCTCACTGTCAGAACTCTATCGATGGGCTTTTTACACACAATATGAAAGGGTCAATATGAAAGATGTGGATTTCATTCATCATCATTTCTTCATTCCATGAGTCCATGTGTTGGTTTTGAAGTCTGGGAAACCTTGAAAATGTCATTCCACATTCAAATAAATATATATGGTCTCTTCACAACCTTGGACAGAGCATGCACCAAGAACTAGAACAGGGGATAGGTGAACAGAGTTATTTTCAAATGTGCCTACCAGAGCTCCAGTATAGCTGCTTCCCGCTGTCTGGTTGAATGCTAAGCCAATATGGATGGAGAGTATACCTGTCACCTCCTCTGCATGTGGATCTTCTGCCTCCATTGTTTTTAACCAGTTGCATGTGGGACTCTCCGGTTTGGAAGGCGTTCAACAATATGAATATGAATCTGCCTTTTATACTTTTGATGCATCTATTGTTAACGGTTCCGTTTTCAAATCTCTCACAGACACGTATGTCATTTAAGAAAGTTCAATTTTTTTTGTAACATTGTCAAGAGTGGCCATAACCCTGATATTACCATTCATTATTTGTCTGTCCGCCATCATGAGCTGCCATTTTTTGTTCCTTTTTTTGCATGCTCTCTGTAACGTTTTGCAACTTGCTGTTGACCCTTGAATATGCAGGCAATTTTCACCACTTCCATGAGGTGGTGCCTTAGCTTAACTGCTGGTAGTCTAGTAGGTGGTGTGATACTGTGAGTGTCTGCCTGTATAGAAGGCATGGATAGAGATGATGTTACCCTTTTCTCTCCCACAGGGGTCCATCATTAGCAGCCCTCACATATGCCGGAGAGCCACGACCCCACGCATCGAGGGCCCGTCCCGGGGCCACCCCACCATCCCCAACTCCTCCTCCCTCCTCGGTTCGCTCTTTGGCAGCAAACGGGGGAAGCCTTCATCCCAGAGCCATCCTCCTCTTCCTCTGCCTGGTCACCCCACCCTCATCTCCCACACGCCCCATCCGTCCAACCTCCACCACACAGCCCAGCAGGTATCCCAGGCTCAGCTCCACCACTCCCAGTACTGCCACGTCCAGCAGAACCCCCCTCCCTACCACCACCATCATCACTACCACCCCCCGCCCCACACACAGTACCACCAGCACCCGGCAGCATACGCATCCTCCTCCCACACACACCAACACACGCACCCCCACGCTCATGTACCACAGCACAGCCACGGCGCCCACAGCCAGCATTCCCATCACGCTTCACACTCCCAGCATGCTCCTCACCACCACAGTCAGCAGCAGGGCCCGGCACCCTGGCGGGCCCAAACCCAAACACAGTGGCATCAGTTACCGTGGTGTGACGTCCCTCAGAAGAGAGAGAAGAGAGAGAGAGAGAGAGAGAGAGAGAGAGAGAGAAGAGAGAGAAGAGAGAGAGAGAGAGATATATAGTCATATATCTATCTCAGATCAGTCTTCGCCTCATATTCGAGTCTCTTCTCGATCTTCTCTCAATCTCCTCTCTTCTCTCATGTCTCTCTCTCTCTCTACTCTCTTCTCTCTCTCTCTCTCTCTTCTCTCTCTCGCTACCCTCTCTCTCTCTGCTCTCTCTCTCTCTCTCTCTCGCTTCTCGCTCTCTCTCTCTCTCTCTCCTCCTCTCGTATCCGTATCGTCCGCTAACTAGACGATTAATTCTAGTGGCCGTCCTTCTTCTCCCCCCAAAGAGACAGAGGGTATACTGTAAGTCGATGGCCTGTCCACTGTGTTCCGCTATTGTGATGGAGATGGACCTCTGGCAGTCCTATGTATCCGCTCCCCCTTCAGCTGCTCACCAATATGCAGGATGGAAACCAGACTCAATTCTTCCACAAAGGGCCTCGGCTCGAACCTTAGTAAGGGCCTCTGTCTCTCTGTCAGGGCTTCAGGGAGGAGGTGTTTTTTTTACGGGGAAACACTTTCCCTCCTTCTCCTCATGAACTCACACCAAACCCGGCTGTGACGGCTGAAGAGAACCGTGCATTCTCTGTAGGCTGCTCTCCACTGCTCCGTTCTTTCAATAGCCTGTCTTCCCTTCACATAATCAGGAGACGAGACCACCTGGGAAAGGCCTGAAAAAACATGTCTGACTGTTTTCTCTGTCACGATGGCATATTATATTGTACACAGTCTTTTTAAACCAACCTAGCTTTTAACACTCTGCTTTCTTGAGGTTTGCGAAACCCTCTTTTCATTTTTAAGAATGCTGTTTGTTCTTGCCTCTCCTAGAATTCATGTAGTGTAGAAAAGCTAGGTGTAATCATTTCACAATAACTAGACCAACGGACAGGCTAACAACAGTCTCAATCGTAGTAGTTCTAGTGTTGTATTTACTGTAGATGACAGCTTTACGTGTTGTCTCCTAGCTCTCATTGATAAATGTGCCAATTACTAATGCATAAACTATTTAGTCTAGACTTCATGTACAGTATATTGTGCGTAAAGTACCTTGTAAGATTATACTTACAACCATTGTTATTATCATTAGAAATAAACTGTATCAGTATTATACTGACTCTATGGTAACAGGATAGATGGGAAGGGGGAGTGGAGCCACATTGTCAGGCAGGCCAATAACCTACTCTGGAACCTTTTGCCTTCCAACCAGAGCATTGAGAGACTGGAATGCAGCTGTGGCATATGGTCCTCCTAATGCTGGGCTATCATGTATAAAACCTCAGTGGACAGACATGAGTGTCTCCTGACCATATGTTGTTCCTATGCTGGGTGGATGGGTCCCACTTGGCTCGGTATAGTACTCCTATATGAAGTACTGAAGTTTAGTACTGTGAGTAAGGACATGTAGTAAGATGGCAGTGGGGAAGTGTCACATCTCTCGTTGAGCTCATGGCCCTCTCTTGGTTGTATGCTGGCTAAGCTCACAGCTTTCCTGACCTCTCAGACACTTTATGTTATAGAAGTTGAGGCTCAAGTCACTTTACTGATGGACCCGCAGTAAAGCTGACAACGTCTCATGCCTTTGATATATGAAGCAGCTGCATTCTTGACTCTTCAAATCAAAATACGATAATCCTTTTTATTTTAGAATTTGTTTATTTACTATATTTTTGTTTTCTTCACAAAACCTGAGTAGTTGAGTGACTAAAATAACCTCTTAAGTATGTAGTGTTGAATCATTTGTTTGTCTTCTTTGTTTTATCACTATGTACAGTATGTGCAATATCTTCGTACTGATTTTGTACATTCAGAACAAAAAAGTGTCCCTTCTGTTTGTTTTGTGTGTTTTCATGTTGCGTCGTTATTTATTTAGTTCGGACCCCTGTCATTCTCTCTCAGTGGCTTAATGTGTGGCTGTTCTCATGGGAAACACAGTCCTGGAATTTTTCGAATTCAGTGGAATGTCTAAAAAGTGATTTTGCATGTAATGTTATTGATGTGAGGCTAACCTCAGCACATTGTATAACAAATCAGTGTTACCATAGCGATTGAAGTGCAATCACATAAAAAAATGCAGACTTGTAGGCCCTTTACAGGTTCAAGTCTGTTATCATGTTGTCCTGGAAGAGATTCAGGTTAAAAATATTTGTTTGTTTTTTCATTTCAGATGATATACTTACTTACACAGTTGACGGCAGTGCTTGACTTGGACTGAAATAGGTTCTGGTACTCATTTTGGGTGCCGGTACTGTTTATATTTAGGTGCAGGAGCTCCTTAATACTTATGAGCTAATATTCTATAAGAGGAACAGGACTGCAAGCAGTAGTTTGAAGTGCCGGTACTCTGCTCCGGTGTCCCAAGTCAAGCACTGGTTGACGGTGAAAAGAAAGAGGAATGTGTGTATATATTTTAATAAAGGAATATGCTTCCCTCTGGGTAGAACAGAAATATTTTGCTGGATAAGCACATATGAAGGAGCGCTTTCATTTTTCAGGAAATCCAGATCTAATATACAGCAAAGAAATGCAAATAAAACAAAGGAACTGGGTTATATGTAAAGAAAAATATCTTTCTACATTCTACAAAATAAGAGTATATTATCGTGTGTACATTAAAGTAAAAGTAAACTGTTTGTCCCAATATTCAGGGTGTAAATGTATTTTAACATTCACTAAGAAAACCACAACCATAAGTCAGACTTCCCATTGGGCACACACTGATTGAATCAATGTTGTTTCCACATTATTTCAATGAAATTACGCTGAACCAACGCGTAATAGACGTTGAATTAACATCTGTGCCCAGTGGGTTGAGGCCTAGGCTTCACTCAACACGTCTGTTCATGTTAGATCCATGATATTATAACAACAAATAAGGAAATGTAGACAGATAAACATATCTTATCTAGGACATGAATAATCAATTGAATGTCTTTCTAATTATTTCATATTTTCTTTTTTGTAACTCAGAAATGGTCGGACAATGTAAAAATAGAGAACGAAATGTATACATTTATCTTGATATGTGTTGTAGTGCTTCAAGAAATGTCCACAGTCATCTAAAGTCTGATAAGTACCCCCACAATGCACTGCATGGACCTGATGCATCATGTGTCTTTTTCACTGTGAGCTGACTGAACAGGTCAGCCTGTAAAGTTGATTGACTTTATTTCCTCTCTCTTTTCATTGGTTTAGATTTGGAATCTCCTGATGTTGACTTGCTCTTGCTGTCCCACATTAAGCTGATTGTTACTGGAGCTCAGCATGCATTTCATCTACATAGCCATTGTAAAAAGAACCAAACATAAACACCGTCACACTTCTGTTATTATTGAGCCTGAGTGCTTTAGTTATGGAAATAGGAGAGTAGAAGTGTTGATTATGGAATTCTAAAAAGGGTGGTTTATCTATAAAGAAGACGAGAAGGGACCAAGTGGGAGAAAAATGATAGTGAGTATATTATCACTACTCTAATTCAATATCTGCGGTGGAGATCATATAAGGTTATATGGGAGGTGGAAAGTATGATTTTCAACATATCTCTCGTCTCTGCCGCCAACATTAGTGAACGGTCATTTGCTGTGGATCTCAAAGACAGACTGTTATAAAGTTCCCTGCCGCCTACACACTCTCTCATCCCATGCTACAAGCTGTTCTATCAGGCGCAAGACACACTTTTAAAAAAGGAAAGACGAGTGGCCTCATTTCAATGTGCATTCAGTTTGTCCAGTGAGTAGTGAGTCAGTAAGACCCCAGTTATCGTAAAACTTCAACTGTGACAATGTTGACAACGCTAAATAAACAAATATATGACTTATGGTATGCATGTGTTGGTCTTTGGTTTTCTAATGTGTATTATCGTGTCAATTCTTGTGGTGCAATCTTTTCCCTTTTATCTTACCAAGTAAAATCAAGTAAAACCCTTAGAAAAGGTACCCTTAGAACGTGTTATCTACTTAGATACATGTTGTATATGTATCAGCGAGGTAAATACAAAAGGAAAGTATTCTGTAGTTTTGACCTGTGTTATGGTTAGTAAACAGTCAGTAATACACAGTGTAACCACTGGAGGACGCACACATGAATAGAGATTAAGCTGTGTCAGCACCACCTAGTGGTGCGATGGGTTTCTAGACAGTGTTTACTACTTGATCGTACTGCTATAATACAGTAGAGTACAGTCAGAAGTTAGGCCAGCACATGCACTAATTCGTAATTTTACCTCTGGAGTAAGATTGTGACAGGGTAGCAGCATACTCTACATAGAACAGATAGGCTACCTGCTGACACAGTAATGGTAGGTATATAGCAATAAGAAGTGAATGGGCATGTTGATTGCAGTTATGGAGGCTCATACCAAGGATATGAAAATACCACATTGGTCCTCATTGGTTAAATGTACAGCAGAACTACATTACAAACTCACTTAAAAGCCTCTACCACAACTGAACACTTTAACATGATGAGCCTTTTCAGCCCATAGGAAATATGTTTTACCCACATCACTGTTATTTCTAGTAGATCCATACATGTTACATACACCTCTATGTTGCCACAACATATTTGAAATACTAACACATCATTTTTTTCTGTACTGTATGTATACATTTGATATAGCATGTTTTTCCTCCTGCAGGATGCTCTTCGGTTCAGGGCTAGCCATCCTGCTCCTCCTGGCCACATCCAGTGCACAGCCCAGCCCAAAGCCTGCCGGTGTTCAGCTTTACAGCCTTCAGGACTACATGTCAACTGCAGCTCCATGAGCCTCATGGAAGTGCCATCTCTCTCCAGACACCACAGAGCTCCACCCCCAGAACAACCAGCTGTCCACAGTATATCCAGGGCACTTTGACAGTCTGCAAGACCTGAGGAGGGTCACCCTGTCTAGGAACCTTTTCCACTGCGACTGTGGCATCCAGTTCCTGAGGATCTGGCTGAGGAGGAACAGGGCTGTCGTGTCTGGTGGGGTGCCTACCTGTGCCAGCCCCAGTAGTGTGGCACACACAGCGATCACTGAGCTCAGTGATGCCTACTTCTCCTGTGCCCAGCGAAGCTGTGCAGGTGGGGCGTATGACATCCTGGTGGGGGTGATGCTGTGTGGGCTCATCAGCCTGCTGCTGTGGGGCCAGAGGCTGGCCAAGAAGGCCACCTTCACTCCGGAAATCGATCAGAGACACGCAGGGTTGGAGGCGGACTCTCTGAGGTCGCTGAAGCCCAAACACAGGAGGCTCCAGAGGACTCTGTCTGAGGAGAGTGAGAACTCTGCCTCTCTCACCTGGACAGACGACCCAGAGAGACCTCTGATTAACATGGAGATATTGCCACAAATACTGGACGTATTGCATAAGAAGCGCAATATAAAGATGAAGGCAACATAAGATATGGGATGACTGTCGTGGACAATGGGATGACTGGGGATTTAAAACCTAAACTGGTGATTGAGTGTTTTGCTCTCTGTTGGAATACCATTTATCAGACTGTTCTGACTCATGCCTTGAATAGATTTTTTTGTCATGAAGCCCATAAAATCATGCTCTGGAACTACTGTCTCCCATTGTACTTACGTAGTAGATTGTTATGTGTTTTACACTTGTACACTGTATCTCTCCAATACAAAGATACATGTAATTGAGGATGAAGTGCTCATGTAAAACAAATATAATGTTGCTAATTCATTTTACTTCAAATGCACCTCTGCTACATTACTGTTGCAATGCACATGCAGTACTTTAATCAAGGCTTGATTCAATCCGTAGTGCTGAAGAGCCGCATTATAGTGCGATTGAAATTGCAAGGTAATTTCCGATTGAGCTGGCATATGCAGCGATTACCGTGAATGCGGTCTCCGCGAATGTAGGAACATTGCCTTTAAATGTCAATTTGCACTATTCAGCTCTATGGATTGAATCGAGCTCTTACTTTATTGCATGTTCAAAAAAACAGGTCATGCTTTATTTTACAGCCCCGTTACCACTGCTATTTAATTACAAATTACTTGGTATAAAAATGGTTCTTCCTGGTATTTGTTACCTTGAATCCTCAAGTGACAAAGTTGTTACTGGGCAATTATTATGTAATTATTCTGTTACCATGTCGTTTCTGAGTAATTACCAGGTAATTATGGGCTGTAAAATAAAGTGTTACCAAAGAACACGATAGCTATCATAGCTACTTTTTGACAAATCTTGGCTATTTTCTATCAATCAAAACCAACCAATGTAGCCAATAACCATTTCAGATCAACTTGGCTTACTGCTGTTATTCCACACTGGGAGGAAAGGGAGGGCCATTGTCAACAATACTTATCACCCTCAGAGGGGCCTTGCCTAGAAGAGATACCCTCAACTGTCTGTGCCGATGGAGGCATATCCTTGCCATAATTCAAATGGACATGATCGAGGTGCAAAGTTTGCACTGTGCCTGTTCTTGATAGTTATGCCCATTACATGTATATGTTGTCCAATTTGCAAATACTGCAGATAAGAGTAGTGACAATATTTCCTTATGAAACTGAAAATGTGTGCATGAAGACAGAAAGAAGAAAACCAGTAGGATATATGGCAAGAAGATAAGCAGGTTTTATTTGTTTTCATGTAAACAAACTCATGCTGTATAGCCTATCTTCAGCACTGAAATATAGGTAGCCAGCATGTTTTTCTTTTTTAAGCTACGCTATTTTCATTCATACAAGTAATATTGACATTGATAACATCTTTTAAAACATGTAATGCACCCACTGAAATGCATGGTTAATCCACCAATGAAAAAAGAGCTTCTCTTATATTTATATATTTTATATAAATATAAATGGCTAGATACAGTCTTTGCATCTGCAGTCAAAGTACTAATGCATACAACAACGTGTACATTTACAACTAAGGGCAAGTTTACTAGCCCAGCAAGATATGGTAACATTAAAATGAAAATGAATCGTTTTGTTCTGTGCAAATACAAGTTATATGGTTTACATTGCTAGAAATAATGTAGACAGCACAGTTGAAGGACGGTATTGCAACCTAAATAACAATAGTTGATCTTGCAGTACAGCATGAAATCTATCTCATGACATGCATGCATAGATGTAACAGACAAAATGTATGGTAGACCATAATATGGTCAGTTTGTGAGGGAATCTATACATAGACTTCATAAAAATATTGATCACTTATTGTAGTCGTAAAGATATATAAGACGACTTAAATCAGATGAACCATTTAAAATACTGTCATAATCTTTATACATAATCACAACTAAGAAAATACGTCCAGTATAATACTATTAAATAAGGCTTTTATTAAAATAAATTGCCATTACTTAAAAGCGGGTAATTGTGCTGAACTTGAGTAGTTTTAAACCCACTATAAAACAATACAACAGAAGGAATAAGAGTTCAATCTCACTACAGTACTTTACACCGTTATGTGTTTGAATATGACCTCTATTAAGAACCTTCAATGCCCTGACAAGTTTTAAACACTGTCCAAAGTAACTCAGTGTGTGGTATTTCCCAGCTAAAAACCAAGGGAATCTCCATGTCCATCGTACCATGCAAAACAAATCTGCACAACACTGGACAGATGGATATTGGTCAGTTGGTTGGATCTGCTCTGTATCATTTGAGCACCTCCTCCTTTTAAAGGCAGAACCATAGAATTAGAATAGAATCAATTCTAATTCTATGGCTGGCATAGACCAACCGAGATTTATACTAAGGTCTCCATGACGACACCAATCTGAGAACTTTACTGAGGCACAAACTTCTCCTGCTCAAAGATGAGCTCCACAGCATCAGCCACGTCCTGCACGATGTGCCCGGGCTCCACCAGCGCCGGGTCAAAGCGGAAGTCACGGTGCCCGTGGAACACAGTCTCCTTGATGGACTGGTTGGTGTCGGTGGGCACCTCTGTGTGGGGGTTGTACACCCCAGTGCATACCAGGATGGACTTGCAGGAGGTGGCAGAGGGGGGTGCCAGCTCGCTCTCCCAGGCGTTCTCTACGTGGTCGTTGACCTGGGGCAGGGCTGCGTTGGCGCCCGTGCCGGTGGCCATCTTGGCGACAGCTTTGGAGTTCTTCCTCCTTGTCCTCTCCTCCAGGTAGCGGTTATAGAGGTTGGCCCCATAGATATCAGTCATCAGGTTATCCCTGAGGGAGTAGAGAGGCAAAGGAAAAGAAAGGAAATCAAGGAGAGGAATCAAGTAGTACAGACACTACATCCCACATCATGGACATCAGCATATAGCATCATTATGGACAACAGCATATACAGTGGGGGAAAAAAGTATTTAGTCAACCACCAATTGTGCAAGTTCTCCCACTTAAAAATATGAGAGAGGCCTGTAATTTTCATCATAGGTACACGTCAACTATGACAGACAAATTGAGAAAGAAAAATCCAGAAGATCACATTGTAAGATTTTTAATGAATTTATTTGCAAATTATGGTGGAAAATAAGTATTTGGTCACCTACAAACAAGCAAGATTTCTGGCTCTCACAGACCTGTAACTTCTTCTTTAAGAGGCTCCTCTGTCCTCCACTCGTTACCTGTATTAATGGCACCTGTTTGAACTTGTTATCAGTATAAAAGACACCTGTCCACAACCTCAAACAGTCACACTCCAAACTCCACTATGGCCAAGACCAAAGAGCTGTCAAAGGACACCAGAAACAAAATTGTAGACCTGCACCAGGCTGGGAAGACTGAATCTGCAATAGGTAAGCAGCTTGGTTTGAAGAAATCAACTGTGGGAGCAATTATTAGGAAATGGAAGACATACAAGACCACTGATAATCTCCCTCGATCTGGGGCTCCACGCAAGATCTCACCCCGTGGGGTCAAAATGATCACAAGAACGGTGAGCAAAAATCCCAGAACCACACGGGGGGACCTAGTGAATGACCTGCAGAGAGCTGGGACCAAAGTAACAAAGCCTACCATCAGTAACACACTACGCCGCCAGGGACTCAAATCCTGCAGTACCAGACGTGTCCCCCTGCTTAAGCCAGTACATGTCCAGGCCCGTCTGAAGTTTGCTAGAGTGCATTTGGATGATCCAGAAGAGGATTGGGAGAATGTCATATGGTCAGATGAAACCAAAATATAACTTTTTGGTAAAAACTCAACTCGTCGTGTTTGGAGGACAAAGAATGCTGAGTTGCATCCAAAGAACACCATACCTACTGTGAAGTATGGGGGTGGAAACATCATGCTTTGGGGCTGTTTTTCTGCAAAGGGACCAGGACGACTGATCCGTGTAAAGGAAAGAATGAATGGGGCCATGTATCGTGAGATTTTGAGTGAAAACCTCCTTCCATCAGCAAGGGCATTGAAGATGAAACGTGGCTGGGTCTTTCAGCATGACAATGATCCCAAACACACCGCCCGGGCAACGAAGGAGTGGCTTCGTAAGAAGCATTTCAAGGTCCTGGAGTGGCCTAGCCAGTCTCCAGATCTCAACCCCATAGAAAATCTTTGGAGGGAGTTGAAAGTCCATGTTGCCCAGCAACAGCCCCAAAACATCACTGCTCTAGAGGAGATCTGCATGGAGGAATGGGCCAAAATACCAGCAACAGTGTGTGAAAACCTTGTGAAGACTTACAGAAAACGTTTGACCTGTGTCATTGCCAACAAAGGGTATATAACAAAGTATTGAGAAACTTTTGTTATTGACCAAATACTTATTTTCCACCATAATTTGCAAATAAATTCATTAAAAATCCTACAATGTGATTTTCTGGAATTTTTTCTCATTTTGTCTGTCATAGTTGACGTGTACCTATGATGAAAATTACAGGCCTCTCTCATCTTTTTAAGTGGGAGAACTTGCACAATTGGTGGTTGACTAAATACTTTTTTCCCCCACTGTAGCATCTTTATGGACATCAGCATATAGCATCATCATGGACATCAGCATATAGCATCTACTGTAGCGACAGTCTAGCTGTGCCTTGAAACCCAAAAGAACAAACAAGTTTTTCCATTTATCATTGTGTGATTACCCATTTGTAACCTAGTATCTTTCCCGTAAAATAAATGTTTGCTGTAAACAGTGAGATGACAGGTGTCTTACCCAATAGCATAGAGGGAGGTGATGGGCTGTGTCCAGTTTCTCTCCACAGCCTGGCCTCTGATAAGGTACTCAGCAAAGTGGTAGGTCAGTTCACTGGGCTTCCCCATCAGAGCCTTGTACTTCACCTCTTTACCTGTTATTTTCTTATAGATGTTCTCCAGGCACACCAGGAACGTCCCATGACCAAACCTGGAGTTTACATGATGTACAGAAGCAAAATTAAACAAAAAGTAAACTAAGCTCATTCAACAGCTTTTCTTGAAGGCCAGACTTCAATGAGCTAGGTCCCATTTTGCATCCAGGACATGAATAGATTCTATGGTGAAAAAACAAATGTCTTTCAGTCTATTCATATCGGCCTATTCACCACATTTCAATAACAGCTTTAAGTCACTGTGGTTACCGTGGAGACTGGGCCTCGGCCATCCACATGAGGTCCATGTTGCAGGCCAGCAGGGGGAGATGGGGCAGCTTCTGGCTCTGGTGGGCTCCGCTTAGGTTCCCATTGGTCAACAGGATATCAATTATCAGCTGGAGGTTGGTCTCCCATCGGATGGGCTCCCCAAACAGAATAACAGCTGGACCGGGAAGAGAAAATAATTGGAATATGATGGATATGATATGCAATTACTGTGACAGTTCAATAACAAGATCAATCAGAAGAAGAGTATCTGTTCACAAGCTCTTACCTTCTACTGTGGGAAGGTTGGCAATTTGACTGGACTGAAAATAAAAAATTGAACATGCTTAGGAAAGACTCTGAAATATAGCCTGTCTATGGATCTTGATGTATACAGACTCACTGGCACTTTGGGTCGTCTGTTGTGGTCCACCATGTCCAGAAGAGGAAATGACTCTCTCAGCATGTCGATACTGACCACATTCTGGAAGCCCAAGCTTAACATGGTTAAGTATTACACCAACGCATAGCAAATTCATTATAATTAGCTTGTTACTTCATTTGTGTGTAAAATAGAAGATATTTTCTCTCATCAGGCCAAGCAGATGCTTTGATCATGTCTGACAACACATATTTCGAAAGGATACTTTTTGGCAATATCTAGAACGGGTCCTTGTCCTGACACCAGAACGCACTTGTCATGGTACTTCTTGAACATCCTCAGTGGACTGTGTGACATCATCACCTGGTCCATAGTGATCTGGTAAGAAAAATACCTGTCAGATAGGCTGAGCCAGAGCATGACTGGTATGAGACCTACAGCAGACCTATCTTCAAGAGGTGATGATTAGTTTGATTTACTGTGCAACAATACACACACACACTTTAATGTCCTGTCAAAAGGCTGCATTCAACACACATCATTGTCTAGGTACCTCTGGTGGTTATATTTCTCCATCATGTCGCTGAGAACTCGTTCAAAGTCAACAGACAATGTAGCACACTAACATGTACAACATGAGTGCACTAAGGTACATATTGTAGCGATACTCGCTATACAGTATGATCCATGTTTCAATTCCTACCAAGTGGGTAAACCCTATTGGCGCAATGCGAAGGGTGTTTGCCTTTCACACCAGAGAACCCAGGTTCGCTTCCCTGCCCTGCTGTTCACTGCAATATTGTTCCGGCTAACTGCCCACATGGACCGAAATTAAATGAGGGCATAGTCATTACAGTTTGTGTGTGGCAGAAGAGAGCTGTGAGTAGGTGCGAGACACTTACAGGCACTCCCAGGATGTGAGAGAGCTGGTCCGCTTTCGTCTGCCGCATGCAATTCCCTGCATTGGTAACAAAAACAACTGGCACCACAAATTGTCCCTGAGAGTTGACCAGTTTTTGGAAGGCCTTTTTTGCAGCAGGGATGGGCATCTTTCCCCGGACAAGCACGCCATCAATGTCAAACAGCAGGCCAAAGCGTGGCTGAGGATGGGATAGGGAGAGAGTGACTCATATTCCACTTTCTAGATCACTACATGCTGACATAAAAAACGGTAATGTTGACATCATGCAACATTTAAAATTATTACACTCAATATCATAGGACCCAACATATTTCATATCCCCAAGCCATGGGTCTGAGTTGATAGACAAGAATAGATACAGGATCCTGTGTGTAGTTCTGTTTTAAATATACATCTAGTAATTATTTAGTTTCTATAGCTATGTAACAACACATCTATTTCCAGGGTGTTGCTCAACAGTCTTAGCCTTGTACGACCATCCTGAAGTCTTGTGAGCTTACGTTCTGTTTCGCTATGGTGTGGATCAGGCTACAACAGTCTCAAGGTAGAAGTGGAAGGAAATGTGAATTGTGCAGGCAGCTCACATACAGAGAAAATAAGCATCATACAGTGGCGTCCAGAATTATTGGATCCCTTGATAAAGATGAGCAAAGAAAATGCTGTATAAATAAATAATAAAAATACTGAGCTATATTGTATGTGCCAAAAAATGTAACATATTTTATACTAATACAATTGCTCAGAGAAAGAGATTTTTTTTAAACTCTAAAAGATAGTGATCAAAATGATTGGATCCCCTGTTTTCAATCCAGCATCCTCCTCTTGTGAGGATAACGACACTGAGCCTTTTTCTAAAATGTTTTATGAGGTTGGAGAACACATCAGGAGGGATCTTAGACCATTCCTCCATACAGAATCTTTCCAGATTCTTGATATCCTTCGTCTGCACTTATGGACTGCCCTCTTCAATTCAAACCACGTTTTCAATGGGGTTCAAGTCCGAAGACTAAGCTAAAATGTAGATTATGTGGTCAATTAATAATTTATTTGTGGAGTTTGATGTGTGGTTGGGGTTATCGTCTTGCTGGAAGATCCACTTGCGACCAAGTTTCAGCATCCTGGCAGAGGTAACCAGGTTTTTGGCTAAAATGCCCTGCTACTTGATAAAGCCGTTGACCTTAACAATTGCCCCAGGACCAGTGGAAGCAAAATAGCCCAATAACATCAAAGCTTCACCAACATATTTTACAGTAGGGATGAGGTATTTTCTACATATGCATTGTTCAAAAACCTGGTTGCCTTTACCAGGAGGCTGAAACTTGGCCGCAAGTGAATCTTCCGGCAAGACAATAACCACAGCACACTACAAAATCAACATTTTGCAATTGCCATCTCAGTCTCTGGACTTGAACCCCATTGAAAACATGTGGTTTGAATTGAAGAGGGCAGTCCATAAGCGCAGATGAAGGATATCATGGATCTAGAAATATTCTGTAGTGGAATGGTCTAAGATCTCATAAAACCTTTTAGAAAAAAGGCTGTGTCATTATCCTCACAAGGAAGTATTCAATGTTGGAGTATTGAACACGAGTCAAAATTATTGGATCCCTATCATTTTTAGATTTTTTGTATTACTTGTAAAACAAAATCTATTCCTCTGAGCAATTGCATTAGTATAAAATGATATAATAATAAATAAAAATGTGCATAGAATATAGCTCAGTATTTGTATTTATTTTATACAGTATTTTTTGCTCATCTTTATCAAGGGATCCAATAATTCCGGACCCCACTGTATTTGCACCTCTGACTCCTATCCGATGACCAGAGATCCAGGCTCTGTCGTAGCCGGTCGCACAATTGGCCCAGCGTCGTCCAGGGTAGGGGAGGGAATGGCCGGCAGGGATGTAGCTCAGTTGGTAGAGCATGGCGTTTGCAACGCCAGGGTTGTGGGTTCGTTTCCCACGGGGGGCCAGTATGAAAAAAATAAAAATAATAATGTATGCACTCACTAACTGTAAGTCGCTCTGGATAAGAGCGTCTGCTAAATGACTAAAATGTAAATGTATTATTTAGAGAGGAAAAAACGAGATGTATTCCAATTCATTGTAGTCTACATTACAAGATGAGTGATGCAGAATTGACTGCTAAGAACAGTGTGTAATCAAAGGCAGACGACGAGCCCTGGGAATGACACATCAAAATGCATCATCAGAGGCTAAAACATCCGCATTGAAAGCTACAAAACCTCAGCATACTGCATCGACTCAAGACTGCGATTTGGCATAAACAAAGGGGACGTTGTTTTGACATATTATGGAAAATCATCTGATTGTCTTATACTGGCCAGTTTACCACAATTAAAATGTGCAACATTTGTCTACATTAAATCAAAATTGACTATGGGTTGTGGATTTATGTATCAATAAAATACCCACACATCTTGGATTTAGGATAGTTGCCCTCACAAGTCTGCTCCCCTAGAGGCAGTAACATTCGGACACAAAGCGCGCATCCAAAAAGTTACCTCTGCAATGCTACATTTTGGTGTGCCTCGTATTACAAGGAAACATTTGGCTACAATGTATTAATTGCCAGACGTCTACAATGTATCAACGGACAGTGCAGAATTAATTTGGAAGCAACAGCTGCAGTTCAAATCGTACCTTGCTATCAGACACGGTTCCGCTAAACCCGCACTGAGAACCGGCAAATCCAGCTCTTCGCTTGACTTGTCTGTTACACAGGGCGTTCAGAGCCCGGTAAAACGGCAGGAGTCGCCTCATCTCCTCCTAATTTCACCGGGGACCGAAAAACAATGAAGCCCCGAATAAAAAAGCCGGCTTGGGCTGAGCTGGCTGTTCAGTTGGGCTAGTTTTCCTCCAATTTTCTCCAGTATGTATTTCTTTCTGTGCAAGCCTAAATGACGACATAGGAGAAGTAGGAGGGCCTTTATCTTCATTATGCAGACTGTTGAAAGTCGTCAACAGCGGCAAAACTAGACTGCGGCCCCTGCTGCCATTTTGAACATCAGGTTGAGCGATAGAAATGCACGGGAAAAGCAACGGCAAGGCTACTGGACATAATCTGTATGGGCATAGATTGAGGAATCTACTGCACGTTTCACCACTGCACCAAATTAAAACAATTGTTTTGACTTAATCCATATCGATGTTTCAATAGTTATATACATGTTCTGTTAATGACAGGAGACCAAATAAGGGCTGAACTAACTGCAAAATTGACAACTGGAAAGCGGAGGCCCAAGTGGGTCTTTATATATAGGTTGGCTAAATTTACACTGCAAGTGCCACCCGAGGGGTATTTGACATGGAAATCTGAGCCAATGGTTTAGAGATGACAGGAGGATTCCCTATGCAGTTTGGCACAACCTGTTCTACATTCTCTCTGGGAAGAAAAGTCTGCTGTGCTTGCTAAATCCTGCACTGTAACTGCTGGCAATGTCTGGGGCTACCCACAAGCAATTACTTTCTTTGTAAGTGAATTTCAAAAATGTTAAAGGACATTTCTAGGGCAGGGTTGTTTTAAGATGTTCAACATGACAAAGTTAGTTTTAGCCTCATAACTGCTGAAAAACATAACTACTTTGAAGAAAGTAGCAATACAAGACTTAGGATAAATATTATAAGCATAGAAAGAAATGCAAACAATCATCCTCCCCGTGCTCCTCCAGCTTTATTGATAGTTTAAAATTACATTTCTATGTTCTAGGACTTCAGTTGCATTTTCCTTCCGACTTAAAAACTGAGTACAAGCAAATGGTCTTTTTACAGTAGTCTAAGTGATATTGTACAAAAATAACATTTGATTTCTGTGAAAACATTCTCCACTCCCAAATAACTGCTAATTCTGATGATCTGACAACTGTGTTCTTGATGCACATTTTTCCTCCAAGGTAAAAGTTTCCAAATTAGTTTTTGGGGAAACGTCTACCTTGGACTATTTACCAATACTCCTTTAAATTGTAAACAATTATATATATATTTTTTTTATATAAAAGAACTTAATATTCTTTCAATTCCTCCAAAATGTAACGCATTTATCGATATAACATGTCGTTTATGTTATCGCCCGGCACTTAGCTGCTTGTAGGGCCCAGATGCAGATGGATCATATGTTGGGAACCGTTTCCCCTGTCATACTCTCTTGGCCAACTCATATGTTATCTCACTAAAACAAACCAAAAAAATAACCATACATGGAAGTCCAGGTTTCTTTTTACTCCCTTCTTACTGAGACTCACTTTCCATAAGCCCAGAGCTCCTCTATATCCCATTCATTCATCTCTGTTCACCAGTGGCTTGGAAAGGGGGTTCTTCAACAAAGCATTATACATAACACCGCTACCAAACTAAACAAACATTTTTTGTATTGAATGCAGAAAGATATTTTTTTTACCCCTTTCTTCTTATTACATGTCGAGAGGCTCACTGGCCCGGGACTAGCCTCTGTCAGCCAACCTTTGGCCGGTGAAGAGGATTCAGAGAAAATAATACAACCAACCATCAATCAGGAAAAATAGGAGGGGCAACAAAGGGCACTGATTATGCGGTGGCTTCGATGGTGCACTCTTTCGCCAGGTGGCCGGTGTTGCCGCATTTGTAGCAGTTCACCTCACTGGCTTTGCTGCACTGCACAGCCACATGGCCGATCTCGCCACACCTGGGGAGAGGAGGGAACACATTACGATTTCAGTCGCCCAAGCATAAGAGTTAACATTTGCATGGCTCTGGCGAACTAAACTGCAAATGGCTGCCAAAGCAATGGTTTTTGCTAACTCTTAAAAAGCGGAAGGACCATATACACAGCACAAACATTCATCAATCTAGACATACAGCACAACTACTTGAAAGCTTGCCAATTAGGTGATACATGACTATAACTAAAGACTACAGTAAAACCATTTATGTCCCCAAAAGAAGGGGGTACCAGAGACTGCACGTCACTCTTGAGAAGACTTGTCGAAACGCATTGTGTTTGTGCTTTCAGCAGTTGTTAGTGAAGTTTGCTCTGTACATGGGAACATGCAAGTATGAGTCGGTACCATGTGTTTGCATAAGTATTTTTTGTGAAAAAACGTGGCTGTGTGGTCACTCACCTGTAACATTTGACTTTATCGCAAAGTTTCTGGATGTGGCCAAAGCCTCCGCAGGAATAGCACTTCTGCTCGTTGGCATGGTCACAGTCGCGGGCCACATGGCCGGCCTTGCCACAGCTGTAGCAACACTGCTCCCTCTCCTTTTTGGGCTCCTTGCAGTCACGGGAAATATGGCCACTCCTGTGGCAGTTGTAGCAGGCTGAGGAGAAATATAAAAAAAAAACAGCATGTTAAAGATCTGTTCTATAAATGAATATGGAATTGTCCGAAATACAAAAGCAATTAACAATGGCATGGCTATCAACAATTAATGCACATCTTCCAAACACCATTATTATTCAACCAACAAGAATGTGTTGTACAATACTTATAACATGTAATAAACATTCTGAAATCCCGTGTGTCCCCAGATCCTGACAGCAGGACCCAGTACATAGTGAGTCACGAGAAAGCTACAACTATTGCTCACTGCAAAGCTGAACAAGTCCATACTAGAGCTACAAGTTTAAAGTTACAAAAACGTGTAGGAATTGTATTGACAAAACCATTTGCATGTACTTAGTATTCACTAAAGGAATGAAAATTATTCTCACCATCCTCGGTCTGTTCACAGTCCCTGGCAATGTGACCTTGCTCTCCACAGCGATAGCAGAACAGATCTAGAAAAAGAAAGGTGACCCAGAGGTTTACTCTACACTCATTTGTGAAAAGAACACGGGCAACTAACTGAGGAGGAACATGCATCGTTTTGCTGCCATGTCAGCTACGTTGACATTGCGACCTAGGCGCTTGTGAACTAAATCCCTAGAATAAAGTAATTTATGTGATTAAGACAACCGTGCTTCATCGTTTTGATATCCCTGTGATAACGAAGTGATATGACTGAGAGCCCCTGATAACACTGAGGTTATTCCCCATGGGACAAGACCTTTGTGCTCAGCAAGATTAAGGCAGCTGCTTAGAATTGGTCATTTGTCTCTGATTGACAAACCAGTTTTACACAATTGGTGAGTGTCCCAAAAACAAGAAAAGTACCCTTTCCTCTTCCTCTGCCCCTGCCGCGGCCACGCCCTCCAGCTTCGGGACAGTTCTTGATCCAATGCCCAGGACGGCCACATCGGAAGCACTCGCTGCTGCTCATCTCCATAATCTGCAGAGAAAACAGAAATGACTTATTGGAAACTGAAATCACAGTCTAGTAATTTCAAAGGAGGCAGGAATTCTAAGGGCATGGTAGACACAATTCAACACAGTAGAGGCAAAGGTCAGGGTTGTCTAATAAAAGCTGGGCAGATCAATGGCTTGTTCCTGACTCAACCATGTGCTAGCTTGAGTAGTAAGCCCTGGTATCTGGCTAGCTGGTGGCTACTATTATAAAATGTTGAAAAGAAGGATCAGTATGCCACCTGTCACTATTGGCCTTTCAATTAGTTATAGGCAAATGGTCTGCTGGTATTAAAGTACACGTGTGACAAGCATTAATTAATTAGCCTCTGAAAATAATTAAAGTATGTTAATTCAGAGCCAATACTAGCTATATTTACAATATCTAACCTTGCTATGTTGTCCACATTCAGCCATTGCTAAAGGCACGGAAATCACAGTTTCTCTGTCCATTACACTTCCCCCCAAGACAAGTGTTTGCTGAAAGGCAGCAAAAGCACAAAGCCATGTACAAATGTAGTTACTGTAACTACATAGATTAATAAGTAACTTAGTAGTGGCTGGTTATGGTGGAGCTAACGTTAGCTGGAATACCAGCACTCGAAAATTGGCAGCTTCTTGTATACAAGGTAGCTAGCGCAAATACAATTTCAGAAGTTAGCCACGTGCAGGATGTTATGAATATGCCAATAAGGGGATAATGAATTAACATTTCGAGGTACCTTCAATACTACGGTGGTTTGGCCATGGCTACCTACTACACCAAACTGACATGCGGGCATAAACTATTAAACGTGCCTACCCTACAATACTAGTGTAGCTAGCCAGCCAGCCTACCTAACTAGTAACACGGTAGTTAGCTACAGTAATGAAACATGTCACGTCTGGCCAGTTGATTGGCGATGGTACCTAGTGCACACAAACCTGGTTAACTGCAAAATAAGGCTTATTCTCCCTGAAAATTAGATATACCGAGTTACTATTTAGAGAGATCCATTAAAGGGTAGTTATCTTCGGTAAAAGCATGAACGGTGCATGAGGCTTTCTGGCCTTGTCACGTTGATATAACAGCAGCTGCTGGCTGAAGAAAAATGCAAGCACCACCTCTGCAGTTTTGAATGAGGCATTACTAGGCCGCGTCGCAGCCATACAACATTTATCAAAATGGAAGTGATCAACCACATTCACAAATAGTTCGTTTCAATAGTATATTGCTAGACACATTAATCGGCCCAATTTTAACTAGGCAAAATTCTAATTTTAATAGGGCTAATTTCCCGCGCATAACGAACCACATCGTAGTAGTTAGCTAGCCAACGACAACAACGTTAGGCCACACAGACCCAGTTGAAGAGGCTAATGCTATCCGCGTTAGCGGACTTCACCCAGCAAGCCACATCGCAATAAAAACACATGATTTCGGAGATGTATTTTATGGCGCTTCTAAGTTTGACACTTTAACTAAAGTCGGACATAATAACATCGACCTTTTATAATTAAAATATCGCCGTTACATGTTTGTATTACTCACTTTACTTAGCTAGCTACCTAGCTACGCGATTCTCTGCTGTTTACGCCTCCTCTCTCCGTTGCGCCACATGCGGTGTGAACACGAGTTTCTACAATGTGTCATTCACACTATCCAGTCAAAGCTAACGCAACACTTGGGCACGGTCTTTTTCCAGGACCAATGGCAAACGAGCGCATGTGGACACCGCCTCCATGGAGTGGCGAATCACTGAGCAAGACAGCAATCATGTCCCGCCTCCCAGGGTGTCTGTTGTCTGTTGTCAAATCTCAGATGATCTCATATTGCCATCTTTTGATGTTCATTCATTTGCCATATATTTCGCTTAGAACTGCTACAATTGTAGCCTAAATACAATTATGGATCTTCTTCTTTCCTCTTTGGGTTACATTCTAATAGCTTTCCATCTCCAAATATTCCAAATATAAGAGCTGTAGATGTAGGCTGCAATAGGCTACACATTGTGTATCAGTGTTGACTGACTGACACCAGTCTTCTCATGGCCATGCTGGTAATCAATCAAATATAATTATTTGTCATTCAGTATTGAACATAGCCCAATGAGTGGTGGATCATTTTGATATAAGGTAAAGGGTATATCAAGTTTAAGAATACTAGTGTATGGTATAAATGGATGCAGACTGACCCATCCCTGTTCCACAAAGAGGTTGCATCATGGTCAGATCAATAAGTGGGAAAGATACAATCTTAAGGGGGCCTGTACAGTCATGCACATGGAAAGGATAGGTCAATTTCACTAGACTCTAGATTGATTCTCTAAATGAAATTGCATCATTTCGGTTTAATGAATACCAGTGACTGGACATTTTTCCCTGACATAATGGTTTCCTGGTTTCCTCCCTACTCTGCAGCTGACGTTGCACTGGGAGGGATGATGAGACTGCATCCTAATGGTTACCTTAAGATCGTACAGTATAAAGCCCTGCCTCTTAGGCTGCATGCAAAGTGTTTGCATTGGTATTTCCTGGGATTAGTTGCTGTCAGGATAGGAATGAGGTAGTTGATTTAATGGAGATTTTGGAATGGAAATTAAATAAAAAATATGATCAGAAATGGTGAGCATTTGACAGGAGAGAGATGATATATGGGGCTATAAAGTTATGATGATCAATGGATTTTTGACAAGGATGTCATCTGCCTTGTGTATTCAGTGTGTGCCCATAGCATCAAGGAGAGCAGGCTGGTCTGTGCTGTTGAGGAACGCAACATCGCTACAGTTAACTAAAGCAGTCTGATCATTCTCCTCCTCAAATGGCCTTGGCGATAGAATTCTGGGGTCTTCAATGTCATCATCCGTGGTTACCTCAGGGGACCTTCAGCTGGGGTCCTGATCTTGATCACATGATCAATTGAGTAGTTGGTTTGAAGGTAAGATCCTAAGATCCTCCTGCTCCATTTAAGAGCGCACGCTTGTACTTTGCTATGAGAGAGTAATCTATTTCATGATGAGAACATGTCTCAAATAGGATAGATGCAGTCATTTTTTGATTCAATTTCAAATTGTTAGGCTACCAATATTTATCTATTTAAAGTCACCAAGATTTTAAAATCCCCTGTAAAAAATCTAGTTTGATCACTATTTACACAGTAAAACTCAGTTAATTAATTTGACAATTGACTCCCCAGTTGACTCCTGGTACAGATACAAAATACATACAGCCTTTAGAAAATAGTCTAATGTAGATGTCCACTGAGTTAGTCTATAGGTAGTGCCTTATTTTCACCAGATGATGGGGTGCTTGTTATTCTTTTGATGGATTTCTCATTCTGCAACTGAGTATTCATATCCCTTGACTTATTCCACATTTGTTGTGTTACAGCCTGAATTCAAAATTGATTAAATTGGGGGCTCGACTGAGGGACCTTACAGATAATTGTATGTGTGGGGTACAGAGATGAGGTAGTCATTCAAAACTCATGTTAAACACTATTACTGCACACAGAGTGAGTCCATGCAAGTTATTATGTGACTTGTTAAGCACATTTTTACTCCTGAACTTATTTAGGCTTGCCATAACAAAGGGCTTGAATACTTGTTGACTCAAGACATTTCAGCTTTTAATTTTTAATTAATTTGTAAACATTTCTAAAAACATAATTCCACTTTGACATTATGGGGTATTGTGTGAATTTATTAAGGCCAGTGACACAAAATCTCAATTCTTTCCATTTTAAATTCAGGCTGTAATGCAACAAAATGTGGAAAAAGTAAAGGGGTGTGAATACATTCTGAAGGCACTGCTGTATGGTCTACAAAAAAAGTATTGAATAATATAATTGCCTGCTTTTAATCTTAATTCACCATACATTGTACAGATTCACAGATTTTTGTTTTGAAATGTTGATAGAATGGCTAATATTTTGGTGTAACAGGCCTACTTTTCAATTTCACCACTGTCATTTTATTCATCCTAAATGCCTCCCCTTTAGATAGCTAGGCTAAGTGTTGTCTCATTTGTCAGTGCCCAACCTGCATCACACATTCATAATGCAGTACTAACATTCTATTAGGCTACACCTCCACTTTTTTGACTTTGTTTTCTTTTCACCAGTTATTGGCATAAAAAGTAAATATCATAAGTGTCAGAGTGGGTGGGCTTAAATGTGTGTCCTCATTATGGCGCAGTGAGTGTGTATGGCTGAAATTATTTTTATGGCTGCAGGGTCCTGTTTTAATCACTGGCGTCAGGCAGGCGCACGACACGAGCTCAAAGTCTTTCACCTTCTGCGTATCGCCGTAAATATTGCGAACAACAAAACTAGGCTACAACACATTTTTGAGAGTTTTAATTTGCCATCAACCTAATAGAAGCTGACGGTTCTAGTGTCCTTCACTTGTGACTTTGAGAAGGTGTCTCCTTTGGACTTGTAGGACCTAGGCTACAGTCATTTTTTTCACGCAGCGTAAGTAATGGAAGAAAGACTAAATATATTTTTAGGGATTGGTTGAGTAACCCATCGGGTTTCCCTAGTTGGTGGACATTATTGCATACATGGGAATGGTTTGGTAGCCTACATTGATACATTGTTACTTTTTTCCGGGCTCCACATTTTGGATTAATCATAATAACACGCTACTTTTTTCTCTCTGAATGCGTTCCAAATACGATGATGTCATCGACTCCACATTTCCTCAAGTTATGGCGGAGCTGAAGTTTTCTAACTTGTCTTGGTAAGTTTGCTCTGACAGTGCCATTAATTCTGCACAAAATTGGATTGCAGCTGTCGTCTTTCTCCCGCGCCAGATCACTGCGAGTCTTTTTGGAGTCAGTAGAACAAATTGGTTTATTTATTGTGATTGGAAAATGGTGATGTGTGAAGTTTCGGTTGATGTAGAAGTTTGGATCGTACGGGAAAGGGCCCTAGATAGGCTGTTGTCATATTTTAGACAGCGTGGCATTGTTTATGCTACTTCAATCCAACAGTGTTTAGAGGAAATGTTGAGTTGACCTTACAAATTATAGGACTGAGAATTCAGTAATTTCTACCACTATTCTCCTCCACAACTATATTTACTTATTTAGCGAAATGTATATAATCTATGCCTTGCATTCTATTCTCATTCTATAACACATTAACATTTGTCATCGCTTTATTTTGATTTTTTTGAGAAATGGAATGTGTAGTATAGCCAGCCAGGTTACTTTATAGAACATGTATGTTCATTAATGAAATGGCTCTGTTTATGTATGCGTAATTATTGCATTTCATACATTTTCACCCTTTAATGTAGTAAGTAGGCCTATGAACTGATAGTGTGATAAATCTAAGTGAATTGTTTTGCAGTCGGGGTTTGTTCAAGTACGTCAGCTCTGCGCAGTGTTGCGCAAAGGAGGGAACGGGGACAAAAAGAATCTGTTAGGCATGTGTCCTTTCCCTAAACATTCCACCAATGATATATATGTATGTATTCACTAGATGACTGACAGGGGGTGCTGTTCTGAAGTCACCGTCCGCCATTATGATACTCTTCAAAACGAACAGCTTCCATAGGAATTCATGGTAATTTACAGTATCAATGTAATGTAAAAATACATGCATTTAAATATGTATTTGTTGTAGTGGGGACTGCAACATAAGAACAAAAAAAAAAAAAGCCAAAATGTTTTATATAAATGTTTTTATTGGCTTCTGTTCAATTCATACAATACTATGTTTTTTTTTTTATCTTCCAAAACCTGTAGCTGTTGAAATTAAAGCATGTAGCTCACCTTTCTACACTACAAAGCAACACAATGTCGATTACTATAATGTAAAGCTGGAGAAGTTAATGCTTGATCCCATAATAATATGTTTTCAATATCGCTGACCAATTAAAGATCAATCTGATGTAAAGTTACTTCCACCAGTAAATAGAAATTGCAATAGAGTCAAGATCAATAAATTACTGTTAGTACAATAAACCTAGGAACTCCCTTACGACAATAGATTGCAGTCAGAGTGCAGTATAACTGCAGTACACTGTAGTATAACTGCAGTTAGAGTGCAGTATAACTGCAGTATGCTGCAAATACTGCGTCCAAAATAACACAGTTTTTTTACTGCAGTAATTTTGCAGTATTACTGCTGTAGTAACCGCAGTCTGCAGATAGACATTATTGAGCCAAAAGCTTGACGCGCTGCAAGTCCCGCCTCTCCCATTTACTCATTGTTTTTTGCGAGCATACTAACCCACGTGGGTGATTGAGAGATGAACGAGGTCCACACACCAGTCCAGTTGATGGCAGTAATGCTAATGCACCTTAAAGTTGGTTTCCAACCGCCATATAAAATCCACAGAAGAAGAGCAAGAAGAAAGATGAACGAGGATAGATGAATAAAACCTAACTAGGGTTCCCCTTTTATCTGTGGATTAATTGTCGGGGTAGAGAACACACAATTTTGTATGACTCAAAATGGGTACAAATTCTAAAAAAATCCAGCTAAAAAAGACCATACCCACTGGGCACACACTGTTTGAATCAACGTTGTTTCCACATCATTTCATGAAATTACGTTGAACCAATGTGGAATAGACGTTGAATTGACGTCTGTGCCCAGTTGGTATGCATTTCAGGTAAAATAACAAACCAGGACAAATTAGCTAGC